CGCCGGGGGCGGGAGGACCACGCGGAGCAGAGGACGGCTGTCCCCAAGCCTCTCCCGCCAGCGGGGATGGAGCACGGTCCGGCGGACCCAGGGCGGCTGCACTCACCCTGTAATTGTGATAGTGTGTCTCCACAACGTGCCGATGGCGCGACTTATCGTGGCCGAAGTTGGATTTCTCGCAGACCAGCAGGTGCCGTGGCACCTCTCGCAGCCTGCGCAGCGTGGCCATGCTTTTCCCCGCGAACGCCCGCCCCAACCTCGGCGTGCCCCACCCCTTTTCCTGGCCCTCCCCCACGTCCCGCTCCGCGGGCATGCGCAGGGCGGGCAGGCTTTGCTTGTTGAGCCCCCCCACCCCCGCCCCCTTTTTGGGGGTGGGGCTAGGCTTCATAGGGACGTGTGCCAAAGCTCACTGTTGGGTACGTGAAACCGTGCGTGTAAGTTCACTGCCTAAATATTCGGTACTTGGGGACCTGGAACTTGCCTGTTCAAAGCCACTTTCCTCGCCATGTCCTCCATCCGTCCCAGCTGCTGTCTCTTGCCATTAATCCTCCCTCTGGGCCCCCTTTGGTCCTTCCTAAAATGTAAAAGAAGTTTCTGTAGGACGGTGATAACAGTTTCTGCTTTTTGGCCTATAATAGGACTCCTTCAGACTCCTTCGGAATCACTACAAGGTAAGTAGTTCAAAATTTAAAACTAAGGCAGGCTGGAGAGTGTTCTGCCGTTAATGTCAATCATCTGTGCCTGAAATGTCAGCCTGTCTCCAAGAATGCTCTAAGGAAAACCTATTTCCTTTTCTTTAAGCAGGAAAAATTATAGGGACTAGCAAGTCAGTCGAAAACCTCTACCAGTTTCCTAAATCACAGTATGGCACCTAGATATAAGCTACAAATATCTCAGGATGTAAAATGCTTTTTAATACGTAGCTTCTTGGTCACCTCACAATTAAGTAGTGGTGGCCTCTCTCAGACAAGCAACGTCAGATAGATACATCTCCTTTGTTGATACTGCAAAGCTTTTCGAAGTGACTAGGGTGATTCTGATGGTCTACCAATTGTATTTGGAAGCAACATGAAGCTTTTCTAGCAAGCCATTTTGTTTAAAATGTTTTATTAAGTTTTGAAGATTTAATAGAAATTTTATATGTATAAACAGCTGAAAAATGTGTTGAGAGATAAATAGCTGCAATGCAGTTTGAGTATTCAAAACTCAGAGGTGTTCTTCCAGGGCATTACTTAAGGATGTGTCCTGTGAGTGAGCCTGTATTATGAAATAGAAGGCAAAAATCTCATTTATTTTAAAGATTAAAGCTGTAACGTCAAGTAGATTTGAGGCTGAGGAGGCCTTTCAGCCTGCCTCTTCCGAGCTCTGGAGTTCTGTGTCTGTAATGATCCCTTGCCAACGCCATTCATTTCTCCCCGCTGCTGGGTCATTTCTGTCAGCAGACAAACATGGCCTAATGTTGTGCATTAAACAGACACCCTCCTCTGACCCCAGATGCCTGTGCATTCACCATTTTGTTTCTCTGCTCCATTAGAGCTCTCCTCACGTTCTCTCCTGAACCCGTTCGTTCTAGCTTTCCTAGACCCTACTTCACTGAAATGGCTTTTATCAAGGTCACTGGTGAGTTCCATTTTGCCAAATTCAAGGCCAAGTTTTTGTTCTTATCTCACTCAGACTTTTAGCTGCATGTGACAAGATGATACAGTTGACCACTTCTTCCTTGTATTAACTGTATTTTCTTATTTCTTCTATTCTTATTTTCTGATGCTCTGGCATTTGGAGCCTTGCTGACCAGCCTTGCTGGCTGCCCCTTACAGAGTTAGCCCATTCCTAGAGATAGCGAACAACTAGTGCTGTAAGTATACCTTTCACTTGCAGACTAACCGATCCACACCCCACCACACCTCTTCTGTGGGCTGTTACCGTCCAGGCTACTACCCCTTGCCCTGATCACCCCAGGGCCAGGTACCAGACAACTGGGGACAGTCCCTACACTCCAGAGCACGCTGAAATTATTCAAACTAGCCAACCCTGAACCTGCTTAGTCTGTTTTCCCTGCCTCGCCCATTCCTTCCCACAGTAAAGGCTCTGTCGGATGCTTTCCCTCACGCCCTCTGCCTCCTCACGGACCCCAGTGCTTCCCCAAGTGGTTCTGTGTGGCCTGCCGTGCCTCCTGATTCTAGGGAACTGTGAGTAAAAACTTCTTCCTTTATGACAGTCATTTCCCTGTCTGTGTGTCATACCATACCTGATTAGAACAAATTCCTGGGTACATTTTAAAACACTCCTCTTGAAACGCTTTCCTCCGGATTTTCGAGACCCCGTCTCTCCTGGGTTCCCTCCCACCTCACTCTGCCTTCCTCCTCCTGGTCCTCCTCCAGACCTCTGGTAATCTTCAGCCCCTTTTCCTTCCTGTCTGCCGTCTGATCTCAAGGTGATCCCACACAGTCTCCCAGTTTTCAGTCCCATCTACCTGCTGGTCACCCCCAGAACTGGTCCTCTTCCCTGGGGGAGCACCAGGGAGTCATGCTTGACTCTTGCTCCCTTCTCACCCCACATGCAAATCTGTGGCTTGTTGGCTCTGCCTGGTTGCAGCCTCTTCTCACTGTCTCCATTCTACAGCCAGTTCAGCCACCTTCCTCTCTTTCTGGTCCACTGCCAAAAACAGCCTCCTGACCGTCTCCCCGCTGCCTGTCTGGCCTTCTACGGTCCATTCTGCACTCAGCATCTGCAGTGATCTCTTGAAAACGTGACAAACGTGATATATGCCACCCTCCCCAGTTTCTACCCTGCTGCTGCTTCTCCTTGCTGTCAAGTAAAAGCTTAGGTAACCTGGCCCCTGCCTCCCTCTGCAGCCTCATCTGCCCTTGCTTGTTCAGACTATTGTGTGTCAGATTTTTTGGTTTCTAGAGCTGAAAGCCATCTTGACTGACAAACAGATATTAGATCATAGACTCTATATCATAGAGCATAGAGAAAAAAGTCTGTGAGAGAATGAAAGGTCAGAAATGGCTAAAAAAGAAAAAAAGCACAGGAAACAAAACATAAGTGATTTATATATAGATGTATATATATATATATACCCCAAAGAATAATGAATTTTTTTAGAAAACAAGCCAACAGACTTGCAAAGAAGTAAATGTACCTTTGTATTCTTAAAATACAAAAATATACTTAGTAAATCTAAAAGGACAAAAATTTTACACATGATGTTTTGGGGCTACAATGAAATAAAATTAAAAATGACAGAAACAATGTAAAGATGCTCAACTCCTTGAAGATGTTAAAATATTCTTTTAAACAAATTAATGCTTGAGTCAGGTCTAAATCTAAAACACAATCACAGTGCCTGTAAAACATATGTGCTTGCAATATCGTATCTAGCTGTATGCCGTGCTGGGGAAAGGAGAGAGCTCTCCAACGCAGAAGCTCTGGAATGATCAGGTGATGTTCATCGGGACCCTTTCACTGCTCTGAAGCCATTTAACACCGTCTCATTATAATTAGGAGCAGCAGTGAAGGCAGTGCAGACACTGGTAATAAATCGGAAACCTCCCTCCTGCCGAGCCTGACCTTGACCTCGCAGTCCTTTCCAGCACAGGGCTCCCCGAGGACCACAGGCGGGCCTGTGTTGGCGAACAAGGTCAAAACTGCCCTCCAGTTGCAGGCAGACTGAAAGCTGGATGCTGCAGCTGCAGTGGAAAACACTGGGGGCCCCAAGAAGAATACAGGATCCACGCCATGAGAGGACTAGAATCCCAGAAGTTCTCCTGGTGAGGGCTCAGAGCCAGACTACTCATTTCCTCCCTCTGACTGGTGGGAAATCAGTGAAGCACACAAACGTGTTAAAAGTAGCAACTGTGTGGGCTGTGTCGATACGTGGAGGTGTACAAATTGGGGAGTATTTTAAAAGCAGAACACTACACAATATTACATGTCAATTATATCTCAATGAGGCTGGAAAAACAACACAGAACAGTCACACAGTCTGATTAAAGCTCTTGTCATGTATGTTCATAAACAAGTTTGGAAGAGAATTTGGGAAGGGGTGAAATTCTTTATAAGTCGCCTTCTTTTAGTTTGCTTAACTTAACATATGTTTAGAAGTAAATTGTCACATAAAGAATTTAAATCCTAGCTATCCAGAAACTTCAATTATGTAGAATGAGGCATTTCTGTGTAACTCGGATTTTACTATAGTTTGAAAACTATTAATCCACAATGCAGTTGAGGAAATAAGATACATTCACAGGGAAAGGAGAAATCGCTGTAATATGTATTGATTACTAGTAATTGTATAGTACTGTTGTGTGTAACGTTACATGTGTAATTGAACGCCTGCGATGAGTCAGGCACCACTGTGAGCACTTGATATTCCTCATCGCACAAGAATCCTCTCTGAGGCAGGTTTAATTAGTTTACTAATTAGAGGCTAATTATGTTGATGTTGATGAGAACAATGTTGAATGAGAACTGCAAGTTACAGAAGTATATGTAGCATGTACACTTACAGAAAGTTTAAAACCTTTCCAAGTTAAACAATATATTATTTAGAGATACATGTGTGGTAAAACTAGAATGAAGTCAGAGGAGTAATATTGTTTTCAGCTTCAGATGAAGATCCTCCTGGGAGGGGAGGTGCAGGGTTGTATCTGGAAAGGGCCATGCAGATGGTTTCAGAGGTTGTAGTGGTAAAGGTTTATTTATTAAGCAGGTGACAGGTAGAGGCTGTTGATTTTATTTTTTAGACCATATATTATTTTGTATGTATAAAATAGTTCATAATAATTTTTAAAAATTTTAGACAGCTTTGGGGCTGGCCCGGTGGCGCAAGCGGTTAAGTGCACACACTCTGCTGCGGCGGCCCGGGGTTCGCTGGTTCGGATCCCGGGCACGCACTGACGCACTGCTTGT